ACTTATTATTATATTGATCTATAAGTTATTATAATTAAAAATAATGGACCAATGGATTAATGGACATATACGATCATATATCCATTGATCCATTGATATCCATTGATATTATAATCTTTACTATGGATTGTTCATCGTGATAAAACAAGTAAATAGCGTAAAAATATTCATCATTGATCTTTTATACATTTTGGAGGATTATATTTACTTCCACGGTTATGAAAACTCGTATTTTTAACGTTAAAATAAAATTGGTAATTAGAAATAAATTAAGAATATAAGTTGTACCTTATTTTAAAAATGATTGGTAAAAACACTCATGATGGGCGATAATTTATTTTAAGAATATACTATACATACGAGGTTTTTAAGGGCTTAGACAATGAATGATTGTCTAACAGTAACTTACAAGGCATATATATTAAAATATGCCTATGTGTATGATTCTCAAAATTCATGCGCATGCTTCTAATAATAATAAGCAGGTTTGAATATTTGTTTAGCGTTAGAGATATCCGGATATCCGTTAAATTTAAACAGAAAAATGGATAATGAATCGTATCTCTAGTTTAGAGAAATTTATAATAATAAACGGGTAATATATAAAAATTTATCATTTATATTTAATTAGTTTAACAGTCTATTTAGTTTCATGCCTAGTTGGAACCGGTTTATTATTTCCAGGTCATAGCTTTATAAAAATATAAAAATCCAGACGGGTGCAGTGTTCGAAATTAGTGTTCTCCGAGTTCTCATGAGAACACGATTATAAGTTTGTGAACAGTAAAAATTTTTTACTGTTCACTATTAAAAATTTTTTGAGAACAGTAAAATAAAAATACTGTTCTCATAAGTGGTAGATTACTTAGTAAGTAGTTCATTATCTCAATGAAAATAAAAACCGAAACCACCTTTTTATGTTGCAGACTTGTTCTGATTTGCTAAAATTTTATTATCAGCATTTTGTGATATGAATCTTTATCAAAATTACAGCAAGGATCGCTTCAATTAATCTTAGTATTTTATGCACGATCTCGGCAACTAGCTAATCGCATTGAAAACACCTTTAGTGATTGTTTATTGGTTTAATTGATCTAAGTATTTAATATAAGCCGTTTACCTCTCATTTTGCTTCTTATCTACATTAGTATGGATATTTATCATCTGCCAAGAACATTTCTAATTATGCAAATTAGTATGACCAGATCTGTACAGTATGGAGCTGACCCGGCCGGGTAATGAGAAACAATTACAGCTGTTTTCATTATTCCTGGGACACCTGATAAAAAATTAGCCAAATGATTTTTTGGCCGATCCGGTGGGTGTGAAATACACCTATACTTAATATCTATTCCGGGGCTTATGCATTATTAGGGTTAGGTTTAGCAATAGAAAATTATAATGGATTGGTATGATATGTTTTTAAAGAGGTATTTTACACTCTATACTATAAATATCTAAAATATTATGAAATTTCTTGTTTGTTTAAATTATAGTATCTCATATCAATATAGTTATACTGTATTAAGTTGTATATCCGATATTTATTTTATCTAATTTCGTATTGGAGTTGTCTATAATTAAGTTTATATCCATCCGTTCCTGGTTTGGCATGACAATGTCGTGCAGTTACTTATTTGATTAATTAGTAATATAAAAGTTATCTATTAATTAATATTTTAAATAGGTATAATTCGTTAGTAAGTTTATTAATTAGCATTTCTTAAATAATCTACTTAAATTATTTAATACTATAATAAATAATATTTATTTAATTTATCGGGTAAGTATAATTTAAAAAAAAGTAATTAATTAGTGAGTAACTCGAAAAATTATAGGAATATAAAAGATGCTTTATATATATACTATTAGTTTTTAACTTTTTTATAACATAATAAATAAATAAAAATAATATTATTAGATTTTGGAACAAAATCCCAAACAACAGATTATTGAAATAACATAAATTAGTTAGCTTTATAGCTAGTAAGCTAACTATGTTGGTATTATGTTCTTTCAAAAATCTGTTTTTTGGGAGTTTGATCCAAATTCAATTATTAGCTAGTTTTTTTTTTCTTTTTTAGGGAGCATAAGTGAGAACACCAATAGCAATTTGAGAACACTTATAGTCATCATACTGTTCTTATGAAAACATTAATTGAGTCTGAAATTTCAAACACTGGACGGGTGGGTCAATTTTTTTATGTTATGAGAACCAAAAAATAACTTTATATGACCTTAGATACATGTACGGGTCAGAATTTGATGGATCACAGGTCGAAAATGTAACTCGGGTTAAAAAGTCTCCGGGTTTGACTTGGGTTGGTATTTTTCGACCCGGGTAAGAGTAATATTACATAATTATGTGGGTCTTTTTATAATTATGTAGGTCTTTTTACACGTTATATTTATCAAAACAATAAACATGCCAGAAAAAAAGGATTTAAAGATTCTTTTTTTTTTATTTGCAAGCTTCGGATCTACTGGTCCTGCATGAGGGATTAGTTATGAAACTTTCTAGAACTGCTTAAAAAAGATATTACCGTCAATTAAAAACCATCTTTTGTTACCCTAAATAAATCAAACGTGTGGGTCTCTCAGGTTAGAAAAGAGCTTAAAGAACAATATTATATATTCGTTTTTCTTTAAATTAGAATAATTTTTTTTTACTTTTCTTAAAAGCTTCTTAAATGCCGTAGGAGGTATTAATAGGACCCTTCCTTAGGTAGGCAAGGAGGCTGATCACTATTGGCATGTTAGCTCTTTTACTTAAAAATAAAATGTGCCGAACTATAAACCTTTGAGACTTCTTTAGGCGAGAAGGCTCAGCAGGAGCCATGAATGATTATCCATGTTATTGAACAATGTTGTTCATGTAGTCCATCCTCTAGTGGTAACGTTCACCCACAGAAATGGAGGATATAGCTACGGGTTGTTATAAACCTGGTCACAGGATACACCTTTACGCGGTGACTAGGACAAGTAAGCTAAAATTTTAGCTGAAACTAAGTATCCTATAAATTTTTATTTATTTTTTTATTTATTTTTTGAATTTGATTAATACATATATAAAATTAATTTTTTAAATTCATGTTATATAATTATTGATTTAGTATTAGTTTATTAAAAAATGAATGTAGTTTGAAATAAAAAATCAATTTATTAATGTAATATAATATCTGATACTGTAATAAATTAATAAATCAAATTTGCTATAAATAAAGTTTCTATAATTAATAAATTTTAAAAGTATGGCGATTACAGTATAATAAAAAAAAATAATAATAATTAAATCGTGTTTAATTCTAGCGATGCGGTAGAATCGTCCCAATGAATTTTACGGCATACGGTTAATGGTTACAACAAAAAAACGTATGATTTAATTTTGTAACTATAGTTAGCGATAGTATTATTAATTGTCGGGGATGATAAGGTCTCTATTTAAAAATATAAATCTCATCTATACTCTTTAATTATAAAGCCTAACCTAAATTCTAATCAAACCATAAAAAAATCATATTATTAAATTAATTAATGCGTAATTGATAAATTTTCCTTTCTTTATTATATGTTTAATTTGTTACTTTAGATATTCACATTATTCGAATGTTCTGACTTTGACCATGTGATTAATGTATAATAGTAACAAACTATTCGTAATATGGAAAAAAATAGTTATACGGAATGTGTGATATAGGGGTATTTTCGTAGTAAGGGGTGATTGCTTGAATTAAACGCAATTTTACCATAAACATAGCTGATATGAGCACTTACGTACGTACAGTACATCTTTTCAAGAATACCGCGTTATGGGATTCCAAAAAGCCACGTTAGATTAAAGATCTTTTTAAAATAACGAATTAAAAATAGAGCAGTTTATCAATTTTATAGATTTTATACGTATAAGATTAGTCAAATTTTTATTTCATCGACGTGATAAACATTTGAAGTTCATTAATTCACTAGTACAGTAATAACGATAGGTACGTAGGTTAAATTGAACTAAAAATAATAAAAAGATCAGGGGGTCAGAATTTTTCTCCAATCGGGAAATGTTTTACCATACAAATTAGCTTAAAAAGTGATAATGATGTTAATGAATAAATAATAAATATTTATTGAACACAAAAAGTTAATAATCTAAAAAAATTTTTAAACAATATTAATAACTCAAACAGTTAGGTCATTGAATTAAATTTTTGTGAGATGAACATCCATATAGGGTAGACAAACTTATATCAGATATGCTCATGTTGTGTTAAATCAAGCATGCATTTAAAAAAGTTCAAATTTTTTTTTAAAGATCATAAAAAGTATAACCGGATGTTCCGGATAAATTATCCGATTGACTTGAAAAATAAGTTATGACGATACATGTTTATATTGCTCATCTTACTCCATAAGTCTCGGCAATATAAATAAGTCAAATTTTTTCGGATGACTTTGGTTTATTTATACGATCCTGACTTCGATATACCCCCCTACTTCCTTTCCTTTACTCTCCTTTCCTTTCGACCTCCTTAACTTCCCTCCCTCCCTAATATCCGTTTTTAAATATTAATCATTAGCGGAAAAAAAATTGAACAAGAACTAACGAAATTTTTTGTTGTCTTGGTTATATTACGATTTCCCGCTTACTTATACATCCATCCATCTATCTCATAATCCATCTTATTTTTACAACACCATCACCGGCATATTTCTGCATTATGCAATTTAAACATTAGCATAATAATAATAATAATAATAATAATAATAATTTCTTTGATAATATTACGAAAAGTCAAAAAAAAACTTCACATCGTTTCCGAACTACTAAAATCCATTCCTAAAAAAAAATGAAATACCACAATCATCGAAAATTATTTCAATTTCTGAAATGGACGCAATTATTGCTTTCATTTTTGATATTTATCCTAGGTAAAACTTGATCTCTACGACTTATTCGTGAATTTAATCACTAATAATCTTATTAATAAAAAATTTATTTATTAAAAGAAATGATTGAACTTGGAGCTTACTTGAATTATGTCGATCTAGTTTCTTACGATGATAACCTCTCTAATTCATCTTACAAAACACTTTTTTTAAATTCAGACTTGTGAGTGTTATTTACTATATCTTTATTATGTAAAACAAATATACATATACATACATATGTTTATAAAATAAACCGAACTTTATTCAATTTTTATAGCGGAAGTTCATTGGTAAAGAAATTCTTTTATTTAGTCTTTTCTCTTAGTATTCTAATCACCGGTAAGTTATTAATTTTATAATAAAAAAAATAATTTTTTTTTAATAGAAACTTTTTTTTGATTATTTTTATTATTGAATTCGTAGCCATGTATATCGCATTATATCGAGGGTCTTGGACAGAACAAAAGGGTCCTTTTGCTTGGTTTGAAATGTTAGTGTTTTCACATGACAACAAAGAATACATTTTTCGTTATACATTGCATGTTAAAAAAAAAAACTTCTTTTTTTTTCAAGGTTGCAGTTAATTATGTGGTTCTCTGCATGTAAATAATTTTAATACGTACACGTATTTACATTAAGTTACTGTTGGTACTTAAGTTTGTAACTGACTTATTCTCTATATATAGTTATGGCAAACCTTTATGACATTTTCCATGGTGCCGTTGGTCTTTGTCAACAATACCGTTCTGCGTATTCACTTGAACAAATTCCAGATGAACCATTAATAGTCTGTGACACCTACATCGCTTCAATAACTTTTAGTTCTCTTATAGTGATTACATACATAATCACAACTTGGATAGGCTGGAAAGTACAAATTGAAAAGAAAACTAGAGTACGACAAGTAAAAAAAAAAGTAAAAGTAATTAAATTTTTACAAAATTCCGAATCTAAAGAAGCTGCTAGATTTATACGTATTGAACAACCTGATAATGTTAATGAAAAAGTTGTTATTGAAATTGAAAAAAATGATTTTGACATTAATTCGGACTTGGAAATAAATAATGATAAGGAAGTGAATGGTGATGATAGTAAACGAAATGAATCTATATGTTGAAGGTTAGACGCACACAAATATGTGCGTATATATATATATAATATACCCTTATTATACATAATTGTAATCTGTATATGTAATATAATCTTTACTGGCGTTACGTGTATTTCTTTCAATCGTGGGAATGGGAATGCCCACTTCAAATTCATCAAACTTTATTATATTTTTTTCAGTTTAATATATATATATACATTCTTAATGTCCTATTTTGTAACATTTTATCATGTATGAATTAATGAGATGTACGTACGTATCTTTGATACCATATAAAATTAGCATTACAGATTATCTAATAATGTGTATTAATTATATTAATTACATTAACTTTTGCACGCACATCTAACTAATATTGCATTAAAGATTTAAAAAATTATTTACATGATATTTTATTTTTAATAAATTAAAATTTTTCAATATTGATTTCTCGTGATGTCAAATCACCCTTTGCAAACAAATCCTCTTGTTCGCATGTATAGTATTTTATGATAACTACTCGGAAGTTCATAATTCCGAGAAATTTCGGTTTTTTTTTTGTAATTGCGCGAACGAAAAATAAAAGAAAAAATAATAAATGTAAATTTTCTTCCAACGTGCAACGTGTGAGGTTTCGTATGTAATGTATTCAAGATATTCAGGAAGGGCGTGTTTTTTTTTTTTTGAGTGAATTAATGGAAGCAAGTAATAAAAGTAATCATATACAACACTATTATTTTCTGTGGTAATTTACAACATTTCCGCCGAAAATAGAGTAACCTCTATAACATCATCATCTTGATGATTATTCCATCCTTCCATTATTATTTTCCAAATATCTTCACAACCTACAACTTTCAAGGCATCTTTTTCAAATAATTTCTTTAATTCCATCGCTTTCTTTTTATAATTGATCTTTTCTTTATTAAGTCCTTTCCCGGCGGGGAGTAAAAAGTTTATATCATCGTCTTCAAATTTCTCTGCATGAGCCAATGCGATACAATCATTTGGAACCATGAATTTAACTTCTTGTTGGCAATATCCTAAGAAACTCTTGAATGTTATTCCATATGGGATTGTCATATTGTGTGACGCTGATGATGACTTCCAGTAATAATTAATTTTGAACTTTAATAATTTTAATTCCGAAGAGGGAAATTTATGAATGGTTCCAGGTAGAGCTTTAGGAGTCGGTAAATAAGGATTCTCATTAGAGTCAATGTATACTTTTTGTCTATTTTTAGAGAGTTCAAATCTGGCAGGTACAAATTGGTTGCCGCATTCTGGTGAAACATAAATTCCGAATCTTCTATGTTCTGGTTTTAATTCTGTTGTGATGCATTTCTTTACTTGACGAGTACAGATATTAGATGTATTAGATGTATTAGAGGAGGAGGTATTAGAATTGGAACCTAATTTTGATTTTTTAAAAGTTTTGGTAACTTTTTTCAAAGCCTTTTGAAAGATTTTTGAAGGAGAGTTTTGGTTTGATTTATGTTGACAAGAAGATTCTTTAACTTTTGTTGGAGAATTTTTGACGATGATCGGTTTTTTAGTTTGACAAAACTGAACACTTTGTAATAACGAAAGATAGGAGATTTTTGGTGGCATGGTAATGTCGTCGGGAACGATGGATTTTTTATTAAAGATAGAAAATTTTTTGAATCGTTTCTCGGCACGATGAAAAGTCATTTTTTTTGAATAGAGAGAGATACGAAAAGAAAAGAAAAGAAGGATTTTTAAGATTAAAAGTGAATTTGATTTTTGTAAAGTTATATTTCGAAAGATGATTTGTAAAAAAGATTTAAAAAATTTATTAGAGATTATTAATAAAAATTGATTTGAAATTTTCGACAACACCTCGTCACACCTCTCCAAGCCATCTATTTTATAAAAATTTTCAAGCATTGAAAACATCGTATTAAACACATACCAATGTACTCATCCAAAGAAATGATAAATCATAACAAACGACGAAACTTCAAAAGTTCCAAACTCGTCAAGAAAAAAAATTTTTCCTATCAATCAAAATATGCATAAAAAATAATAATAAAAAAAAAAAAAAAAAAACATGAAAATTAGTTCAAGTAATGTTATTAGAGTATGCATAGAAGTCGTAAATATAAATAAATACCCATATATTTATCACAATAACAAAAACTCCGATCGATTTTACTTTTGATTCTACATAGTACTAAAATATGTAGTGATATTATAGTTATCAAAGATTTGTAACCTGATTTCAATTTAACAATTGATTTTTGGCGCAGTTTATGAATGGAACCATATTGATCGTCATAAAAATGTGTAGCGGTAGGGGTGATAAGCTTAGAAATTAAAGTATTTTAGTCAGGGTGCTTTGGCAAAATAGTAAAAGAAAGAGCATTCATTTGATGTTCGTGATTAGTTTAGCACCGATTTTGATTTTTTTTTTTTAAATGGTCATTGTTTGCATGGAAAAATCTGTCGGCGAAATCATTGAAGACATATGTAAAGTAAAACTGTCGTAGTTTTACCGATTAATTTTGATGATTTAAAAAAATATTAAAGTGATATCTAGATATATAAAATAATTATAGTTATGTATGATAGTTATGTATGACAAAGAAACAATGGAAATTTTTTTATTTGTTAACTCGTACCATAGAAAATCTTGCCAGCGTGTGACAAATAATCGATCAATTTTCGCACGAAACAAGTCTTTTTGACTGGTAAAGTAACTTGAATTATGTAAACCGGGATTTTTCCTAGTACACATTTCTCATTTTTTAGTCTATCGAAAATCTTGAATATCTTCTCTGCGTCACATGACTGAAATCCATGACTGAAATCGAGAGATCAAAGTAATCGGGGATACATAATAATATAATAATAATAAGGAAATCTATAAATAATTGTAATGATACATATAAAATATTTTTAGTAAATAATTTGATAAGTTTAAAATAGTTAATAAATGATTTTTAAAGCGTCCATTATACATACCCTGAGCCTCAACGTCGGCTGAGATTTTTTATCCCTAAAAAGAATAATGCCATTTTAATAAAAATCTTTGTAATAAAACCCTTTGTTATTGGGTGGAGTTTCCCCGGAAAATTTACAACTCCCTTTAAAGCAAGATTCATATATCTAATCATAGAGTTTGGAACCGGTTTTATTTTCATATGTTAAACCCGATTTTAATCGGGTTTAACATATAAAAATAAAACCGGTTCCAAACCCAGTCATTTTTAATAATTCTCGAAAATTGAATCTTTGAGGTTCAAAAGTGATTAAACCAACGTGTTGTAGATACGTTTGGATCAAAAGTGATTAAACCAATGTGTTATAGATATGTTGAATAAAAAAAAAAAAAAAACTAGTATCCTACATCATCGATTTTTTTTACATTTTTACCTTTGAGATCAAAGCTTTGCAAGTTCGACCATAAAATATTGTGAGCTACTGGAGACGAATAACTCATTTTTTCGACAAAAATTTTGTGCTAACTACGTAGAATAGTTATTCCCTGGCAAGTAATTAATATTTACAATAAAACAGTATTCACGTTTCGTGGAAAAAGATATACTTATTTTCACGTTAATCTCCGGCTTTTTCGATGTCTGAGCGAATTTGTATTCGTTTTTTTTTTGTCCTATATCATTTTCTCTGTTGAACAATCTTCAAAAAGCTTAACAAAAACCTTGAACAACTTTGAACAACGCTAGTTCTTTCAACAACAAGTTCATACAAAAATGTTTATCTGATAACTTCAAAACGGAGAAAACCAAGAAACTCTCGAGCGAAAAAGAGAAGGACGTAAAAACAAGAAAAAAGCGTAAAACAATCAAAACGATAAAAATATATTTAACAGTTTTATTATGTATTGTGAAGCTTTTAAACAAGTCCAAATTAGTGAAAACGAACAATACATTCAAAATTTTTTTGATGCGCGCGTAATAGATTAGTTATAACAATACATAACGATAATAGTCAATCCTCTGGTTCCGCAGTCGGTGAACTCGTGCTAAGTTTTTTTTGTTAAAATTTTCTCGTTCTATATTTCTAAAAATTTGCAATAATACTATATCTACGTCTTACTATAGTATCTGTATTATCATGGTTAACACCGAAATATCATTTCATTAATAATTCCTCTTTATATGTATTGTTCAATTTCTTGGTTCGTTCACACGTATAGTTAATATCCTTTCGTTTCCTTTCGTTTGACGAGAGGTTCGAGTTTGTAAACAGGAATTTATGTTATCGTTATTGACTTTTAGCAGATAAATTCTGAGAAAAAGAATTTAAGTTTCGATCGTCAATCGATATAACGAAGTTAAATTCTTATCGGAGTGTCCAACTATTAATAATTCCGAAATAGCTAATAAAAATTAGTGTTGGTGAGACTAGGAAAAATTAGTAAGTTAGCCGGTGAACTGCGTCCATTCTCGGTTTGGCCCTAATCAATCGCATAATTTAGACTCCGAGAAATAACGGGCAACGGGCATCTGTGCGTTTTTTTTATTATTATATATGATATATAAATTCACTGATAAAATACGATGTGTGTGTTATTTTGAGAGTACATTTTTGATTGCCAAGACATTTTTTTTGGCATGTTCATACCTATATCGAAGATTGTTCACGTATGTTTATACTTTAGTATAGTTCTAAAAAATATTTACTGAATGAGTCAAGCTGATAGAAAAACTTTGATTAGCAAATTTAGTACATATTTTAATCTTAGTTAATTTGATCTGATAATAATTTAATTTGTAAATTGTGATTTCACGACCAAAATAAAAGTTTAATTAAAAAATTATGCTTGAGCATGATTAATATTTAAAACGTTACTTGATTCAATAGTTAAGAAAATTATATTGATAACAAAATAAAGGGGGGGGGGGGCTTTCTTAAACAAAATAAATCATATAGATAACATAAATAATAAGAGTTTTAATTAACAGAGATACTATATGCGAGATTTCAAAGAAAATAAACGTAACCAAAATAAATGAATCAAAATCAAACATCAGTATATGCATACCAGTAATATTAAGTCAAAAACCACATGCATTCACAAAACAAATGTTTTAGAAATACTGTAAGTTTAGTTTAATTCTTAATTTTCGATGCATAAAATCAAATTTAAATCATTAACGTTAAACGAATTAAATCTTTATAGGTTATTACTATATAATATTATATATATTAATATTATAAACTTCATATTTGAAAAAAAAATTGGGTTCGAGACATTAAAAAAAACTTAACAAATAAAAACATTATGTAATTTCCCCTGGGCTAGTTCTAGAAGCAAACTTAAGTGATAAAATGTTAGAAACGGGCAAGTATCACAATAAACATCGTGACACTAGGAAAAGTGACTCCGAGTTAACCCGATTTTTAAATAAAGCAAATGGGCAATGTATTTTGTTAAGGAATCATAACAGAATAAGTTATACACGTAATATATAGTGCCGGCAAGTGAAAACTCAATTTTCTGGGGTTTCCTTTTGACGTTTAGCGGCAATGGGAAATAAGATTTTCAGGCAGGCTGATAAGCAGAATGATGTGGATTCTTTTGGACAGTATTTAAAATCTGCTGAAAAAGGAAACGCTAACGGACAATGCTGTGTCGGATGGTGCTATAGGAATGGTATAGGTGCTGACAAGGACGAAAAGAAGGCATTTGAATGGTATTTGAAATCTGCTGAATGTGATAGTTTTATTGGGCAGTATAATTTTGGATTCTGCTACCAAAATGGCATATTCATTGCTAAGGATGAAAATAAAGCGTTTAAATGGTATTTGAAATTCGCTGAAAATGGCGATTCATATGGACAATATAATGTTGGGTACTGCTATCAAAATGGTATAGGCACTTCCAAGGATGAAATAAAAGCATTGAATGGTACTTAAGATCTGCCGAAAGCGGTAATACTAATGGACTATGCAAAGTAGCATGGTACTATAGAAGTGGAATAGGAGTTGCTAAAGATACTAAGAAATCATTTGAATGGTATATGAAATCTGCTAAAGGTAGTGATATTGCTGAAAAAAACAGCATCGGTCTTTATTACGAACAATGCATAGAAATTACTGAAATGTTGCCGGCATTTAAACCATTTGAAGACATTTCTACTGATCAATCATTTTGTAAAAGCTGTTACCCAGACTGTAGGAAATGCAAGAAACCTTGTAATAATAAAATGCCCTATTGCATAATATGTTATTTTAAAAAACCAGAACCAGAGTTTAAAGTATGGATAAGTGGTAATGATACAATCGATATGATAATTCGACGCACACAGGTTGACTATGAAGACTTTTTTTATTGGGAGTGGATAGATCCAAAAGACTTGGTCAATATTCAATATCTTGCAGACGGAGGGCTTTCATCCGTCTATAAAGCAACATGGCTTAAAGGATATCCCCGCAGGCATAATGGGTTAAGACCTCAAAGGGGATCTGTTATGGTTGCACTTAAAACGCTTGGTTCTTTTGATGAAGCAACGAGTATTATAGATGAGGTAAAGTTCATATCACTTATATCGCTTATATTCTTTTTTATGTTAAAACCTAATCTTTCTAATATTAATTCAACTTGTTATTTTTAAAGTTTAATAATAAACTTCTTTCAAATAAGAAAGATCTTGAAACGTGTTCGGAAATTTATGGGTTAACTTTTCTCGTACAGAAAAATCAAATTGCTATAGTAATGGATTTCTATGAAGGTGGAAGCTTGCGAAATCTTCTTCAAAGGCCAGAATTCTCCTATATAGATTGTACAAGCACCATACTTAATATTGCTTTATGTCTTATATATAGGCACTCTCTTGAAATCTTTCATTGTAATTTACATACCAATAATATTTTGCTTACAAGATGCAATAATTATTATAATACTCTTAAAATTTGTAACAATTGGAACATTGTAATTTCTGACTTTGGTTTAAATAATGTGTTTAATATTTTAGCAGCTACTCAAGGAGGATGTTATGGTTCTATACCATATATTGCACCAGAAATTTTTAAGGGCTATCCACACTCTAGAGAGACTGATATATATGCTCTGGGAATGGAACTTTTAGCTGGCGAACCGCCATTTAATAATATTTGTCACGATATTAACTTAATTTTAAACATTTGTGATGGGCTTTGTCCACAAATTATTGAAGGTACTCCAAATTTCTTGGTTGAAATTATGAAAAAATGTTGGGACAATGATCCTGATAAACGTCCAGATGCGAATGAAATAATTAACTATTTCAGTAAGCTTGAATTTATAGAATATGATGAAAAATATAATAACCAAAATGGAAAACAAACTCAAACAAAAGAACATTTTAGTGAACCTTTTTCAAGCAGATTTATACCACTTTTTACAGCTTTTGCACAACAAAAAAAATATAAAGACACAATTTTTAAGAAAGTTCAAAATGATAATTCATTATTAACTTCTATTGAACTAGTTTGCCCAAAATGCTATTTGGATTGCAGAATGTGTAATAGACCTTGTCAAGATGATGAAGAATGGTGTAACAGATGTTCTGTAAGAAAGCCAAAAACAGGTCTCAAAAATTTAACAAGGGGTTTTGAAAAATACAACAAATTGGCTCAAGATACATATCAAATCGATAAAGAAAAGGATCTAGAGTATTATTTGGAATGGATAAATCCCGAACGAATTGTAGATATTCAGCATCTTGATAATGGTGGATTTTCATCTGTTTATACTGCCAAATGGCTTGATGGTTATCCTCGTGAACCAAATGGATTAAGACCTCGAAAGGGACCAGTTACTATAGCACTTAAGATATTTAATTTGGATGATAAGGATAAGGATAAATCATTCGATACTGAGGTATTATTCATAGCTAATTATTTTTAAATTTATTATCACATTTCTAATCTATTAATATAAATATTTTTTTTAAGATAGCCGTTTATACATCACGAGTCCTTGCTGTTTTACCAGTTAGACTTCGGAATGAAAGTTTTGGAATTACCATAGTTCCAGGAATGGGGATTGCTATGGTAATGGAATTTTGTGAGGGTGGAAATTTAAGAAGTTTTCTTCAAAGTAAAAAGACTGATTTACTCAACAAACTTTACATATTTTCTTTAAGTTGTAGCTCTATTATGATGATGCATAAATATAATCTTATTCATGGAGATTTACACAGTGGTAATATCTTACTTACAAAAAAAGATTCAAAAAGAGATTTGGAATTTGTTTTTCCAGTAATTGTAGACTTTGGTCTAAGTAAACTCTTAACTGGGGAATTAAAAAATACTCAAAAATTAACGTATGGTTTAATATCTTATATGGCTCCAGAACTCTTTAAGGGCTATTCGCATTCCAAAGAAACTGATATTTATGCTCTAGGGATGATTATGTGGGAAATTTTAGCTGGTGAACCACCATTTAATAATATACAACATGATACTTTTTTAATTTTAGGCATATGCGATGAAAGCCGTCCAAAAATTAATGAAGGCACACCAACTTTTTGGGTGAAATTAATGCAAAGATTCTGGGATAATGACCCTAAGAAACGTCCAAGTGCTATAGAAGTAGTGGGTGAAGTGATATCTGAATTAGAAGTAATACAGAAGATGCCTCAAGAAGAATTTTATGAGTACTTAAAACGTGATTTGACAAAGGAGCATCCTAATACTGCCCATTTGAGCAAATTTATATCAATAATTACAAATAATGAAAATTCAGATTATGAATATATTATTCATGAAGATTCAACATTTGCGAACTCGGTAATATGATCATGGGAGTAAACGCAATTTATTGTATTTACAGATAGCTGTTCTCATAAATTCTAATTGATAAAAAATTTAACTGATAATCGTTCGGTCGAATTCGATAAGTGCATATATTGATAAAATAATTTCATTATGATACTTTTGATATGTTATTGTAAAGTTAGACGTTATAGATGTTCACAGATTCTCTTACCATAGATGGATAAAAACTATAAAGCAGTCTTGCGATCTTGAAAGGTATATATTTGAAAATAAACAATTCATTTGTCATAAACTTTAAAAAATATCTTGAATACGATATACGAAATTTTATTTGGTTTGTGTACTCTTGCTGTTCTTTACCTGAAATGTAAAAAAAAGTCCTAAATATAAGCCAATAACGAGAATTCAACCACAAAAAACTTTGCTAAAGTATTTAATAAGGTAATCGTGTGATACAGTCACACAGAAATCAAGAATGTACAGTTTTCGTAACTCTAATATTTTTAGTATATCATAAAGTTTTTGATCTTAAGCGTCTTCCCACAGTAGAACAACAAACCTTTTATTACAAGTATTCTTTCAAAAATCTTTGATGTACCGTATCCTATCGTGAATAAGCACTACACCCTCCACCCCAATTTTTAAATGTCAGATTAGCGGAAATCGCAATGAAATCTTTAGCCAAATTATTACCGCTAATCTGATATTTAAAAAAGTGGGGTAGAGGGTGTAGTGCTTATTCACGATAGGATACGGTAATATGCAACTTTTCCAAATATTTTCGTATCTCTTTCACAGGTAATTTAAAAGTGTCCTCGAGTGTTTACCGAGCAATCTGATTGGCTAAAAATTGACCATGATTCACCTGGGTTAAAAAGAACCTGGAGCTGCGCTGATTGGTTAAAATCTACCTTTAATAGACTGATTAAACATATTCTCATTTATTATTATTATTATTTATAATATGAATCTTCCGCGAAACCGTTGTCGATACCAAAAACTATTATGCTTCTCTTCGCACTAGAAAAACTTACAGCAAATAAAAAAATGCTCAGAAACTAAATATGCAAAGAACAAACATTTACTGCTAGAGTTCCAATCCATTAAGCATTTATCCGGATCTGAATTTATTCGTACTATCCGGGATAATTATGTGTTTAATTATTTGGGTTATGAGATATTTTTATTAAATAAATATTCAAATGTATTATTTACAGGTTTTCTCTTCCCATCACTCATATCGTTATATGCATATATACTGTATTTCTCAAAATATGAATCAAAATAAAACACTAATAAATATTTTACAAATAATAAATTGAATTTAATGCTATTTTCGAAATTATTGTTTCAGGGTGAATTGTACGATTAGCAATCTATGCTCTAAAATATAGAAGTGTGACGTTGGTGATTTAACAGAGGCAAATAATTAGATAGATTTATTTAACGTAATTGTAGGAAACTTTATTAGAATATGTTAGGGGTAGAATATTGTAGTCCCATATGATGATATTACAGAGAAGGAATATTACAGCTCTTTTATAACTTTTCAAAGTTATAAGGCTTAGAGTTCTTTTAGACTAAAGGGTTTAACTCTCTATGCTTTGACACTCAAAAAGTCTATTTTACGAACATTTCTTGTATTCTATTACAGTAATATTCTACTAAGCCCTTAACAACATGACTAAACTAGTTATAGCATTTTCTCGAAGCCATTTACCGGTATTCTTCTAAAGTCACGGGTTTGCTATGCCAAATTTTTGTAGATTCTACCTTTTACCCGTGATTAATATTAACTGTTATAGATAGTTTATATTTGAAAAATATATATATTATATATGTCAATAATGCATAATCGTATGTTTTAGGCGTTAAAACCTAACCAAATATATACATAATGAAATTTTTTTTAGTTCTAAGTGATAAAAGTATTATATAAATTTACAATTACATGTTAGAAACAGGCATTAACATCGTGACACTACAGCACTAGGAAAAGTGATTCCGAGTTCAATTACTAAAGCAAAGACGATAGAAATACTTTCATTGCTTATTAGCAGGATAAGTTGCAGTTTTTTGACGACGATAAAATTATAACTAATGTCGGCATGTGAAAACCTGAAATCTTAATAAAAAATTTCCATATTTGGCGTTTATTGACAATGAGAAATAAGCTGTATGATGTGGATTCTTTTAGACAGTGTTTAAAATCTGCTGAAAAGGAAGACACTAACGGGCAATGCTGTGTCGGATGGTGCTACAGAAACGGCGTAGGTACTGACAAGGATGAAAAGAAGACATTTGAATGGTATTTAAAATCTGCTGAAGGTGGTAGTTTTATTGGGCAATATAATCTTGGATTTTGCTACCAAAATGGCATATTCATTGCTAA